GGGCCCATAAGCCCAGACAGTGAACAGATAGGGAGTTGCGGAGACAGCAATAGCCAAAGCTCGACTCTGCAGAGCCGAGGTATCCGCGATGAGGATGGTAGTGGCGAAACTGATGGTGCTGTATCCAACATTGTAGAAGACAAGAGCAGCAGCGTAGGTCTCGACATTGTTACAAGCAGCCATCATGACGATACCCATGGTGACTATGATAATCATAATACCAAAGGCTTGAGGGCGGCCCCAGATATTGAGGAGTTTGGCGAAAGGGAGCTTGATCAAACCGGAGACAAGGCTTGCAGCGATGCTCATAGTAGCAGTGAGAGAGTGGTATTGAAAGCTACTGGTGACATACGGAGTCATAGTACCGATGATACCGGCCGAGAAAGCCTGAACGAAGCAGATGAGCCAGATTCTGGGACCTGAAGTTAGTGGATGTCTTTCTGTGTTTCTTTTGTGATTATCGTGAACTTACAGAAAGTAGGAGGCGTAGAGATGATACTTTGACCAAACCTGGGTCGTGGCCCGGATTGCCTCGTCTCCATGTTGGTATTCGGCCTTGGCTATTTGTTCATTCTCATAGTCGGAGTCGATCTTTTCCGTTACCACTCCTGCCTCCTTGTTCTCTGGTCCAGAATGCTCGGCATCCTTATGGGCGACTTCGTCAACGACATCGTTGTCGTTGGACGAGAGTTTAGGGAGGAACCGCATTTTGAATGTATATGAAACCAGTCTTGGGAGTAATTGAAGCCAATGTCAACGCACAAAGGATACCAAGAGCAGGGGATAAAGGCAGGATACCGAGGAAAAGAGACAATATTATATAGAAGAAGAACAGCATGCATCACAATAAGTGGGCTCCGTAACACTGGCCACGCAAGACGAAGAATCTAGCCATGTGGACCATCTAATCAATCGACCTACATCTTTAGCGAGAAGTTAGGATGAGTGGAGGGCAAACTCTTCTTGAATTCACCTACATGGTGATGAAGGCCTGGGAGTGGACAGGCTGAGCGTCAATTTGAACCTGTCCGCCATCGGAGCCACTATTTTGATCGATAAAACATACCTTTTTGTCAAAATTCCACTATAATGCGGCTAAGACGGCACTCTTAGTCTCTCACCAGCCGGAGTTTGCCTCTCAAAACAGGGCGGCCCCATTGACAATGATCCACAAACCGCGCAATGCCTTCAGGTGATTGATTAGACAAGACCTGCCCATGATCTGATAAGATGGGGCGCTTGGTCCTTTCTATACCAATGGGCCGGAGCTTTGAAAAGCTTGAACATTGCCCTGCGAGATCGGTTTGACGTGCGTAGCCGATGAAAGGATCGATGAAAGCAACCGTGTCGGCCATGGCCGGGGATGTTTTACCGGATTCTTATCCTTTCAGTAGAGCTCCCACTGCAGGTGATGCTCCTGTTTGATTGTTGTAAGTCAAGCTAACCGTTCAGTTGTCTTTTCTTTCTCTTGGCCCTCTCGTGTTCATGTTGGTGATCGTGGCGCGAGATTGCTTACATTCAATCGCGACCCTCAGGGATCGCACAAACCACAGGTGGAGATGGCCAAGGGTATCATGCAAATTTCTCCTCCGCAGGAGCCGCCGGTGACATTAACACACCATGAGAGGAAGCCTAGCTCCCTTTGCCTGGGAGTCAACTTGCTGAGGCATAATCGTTGCCCTTGACTGTGTTCTCCTTGGCTGTAGTCTAATGCCGGCAACTTCCATCCCATCCCTAACGCCTGCCAAGAGTCTTGGCTCTTGCTCGCTCGCTTCCTTGTGCAACTGCCGAGTGGCTTGCATCAGAGCCGCCCTCTGGCTACGATTCCAGGATCGGTAATCACTGACAAACACCCCGAAACTAGATCATGTGCATACACAGCACATGGCCCACCATCGGGCAGCTATGAACAAGCTTTTCCCGGAAGCTATTGGCCTCCCATTCGGACGGTCCCTCCCTTTCCCCCTTTTCACACCATTTCAAGCCAAGGCGCGGCCCACTTTCGCGTTAGCGACTGTCTTCGGCTTTTTAAGACTCAATGAATGGGCTTGATTAAGCGCGGCTATTGGCTCATGTGTGAGTGCAAAAGTTTTGTTAGGAGGACCAGGTGGGATGAACGGAGCTGGCGTTCGTCCAACTTACCAAAACGGATACACCTGCATGCATGTGCATGTGTAGTAAGGGTCCAATGTTGAGGACGACGTAATAATTCGATTTGTCCTGCGCGGGAGATGCCGATGAACCATGGCACTGTTACCTACCGAGTTTCTATTTGTCACTTCGAAATAGTGGCTACAAAACTGGCTGGCTGGGCATCTGGCCGCTCTCCAGACAATGACACCACGCCACAGCAACACGCAACATCTCAGCAGGGGCTCGAGAGGAGAGAGGACCCGTCTGCCATGTGGGCATGGTAATATATCGATCTAGCACGGGATTCCTTAGTTGTGTGGAGTAAATTGAGAAAAGAAAATGGATCACGTCCAAAATGAAATCCGATTTCTTCTTCTACAGTGAGGGTAGTCTCATGACATCTCAAGAGCTATTTCAATCTTCTCCCCTCCACCGACTGAGAGCCGTGTTTCCAGGGAATGGCTCGAGCCAGGACGCATCTTAAAGAAATCTCTTCATAATTTATCTAAGAACATAACCTCCAATGAAGTACGGCGTCATACCACCCTTGCAAATACAAAGATGCCAGCCAGAGCCCCTTGAGTCCATGCATGAGCACCCGAAGCCCCTACAAAAGAGCTAGGGGGGCAGACATGGGCATAACCTTACTTAGCCTCCACTGTATGGCCATCTCTGAGGAGCCACCTCGCCGTTCACCCGAGGCATCCCCCTTCATGAGATCTTAGACAGATTTTCGCCTCCAGTGCTCTCCCAGTTCTGTCACCAGCGATGCCAACCTTTTCCCCTCGAAGTCTCACCAGTAGTCCCTTTTTAGTATTGTTCAAATCACCCATAGTTTGGATACCATTGCTACATGTAGCTGTTGAGCGACACCTCCCACTAAGCGCTACTAATGCGGAAAGTGGCGAGTCTTTGTTATTACGAAATAATGACAACTCCTTTCTCCGAGATTTTTGAAGGGCAATTGTGAAAGTCAAGAATCAGTTGATATTAAGAGCTCTGACGCCATGAAGAACAGCCACGACCCGTCAATGTGAACGCATGTTTCTTGCCTCCATGAGTGTCCACTGACATTGAAAGCACTTGGTACACGGTAGGCAGATTTTCTTAGCCGCATTCTTTGTTATGAGGTATATTAGAGAAAAAGGTCTTCAGTGAGAGACGAGCGCAATGGGTTTGGCTAGCTTAACTTACCGAGTTGAAATAAAGGTGACCACATTTTGGAACAAATTCATCAATCTAAATTCGCGGTTCCTGAGGCCATATGGTGTCCTTAGTAGATATAGTACTCTCTGGATCGCAGTCAAAAAATCATCATTCTCCCAAGCGCCGTAGGTTAGAGCATGCGGATAAGAGACAAGATGAAATCCATCTATACGGAACTCTCCTAGAAGTGTCCCCGAAAGCAATCACATCTCTTTCATTGTCCGAAAGTACTGCCAAATTTCCAGGTTGTCTGGTGAGCTGTGGTAATCAGCAGCATGACGAGGCTCAAGGCACCATCACTCATTAATGCTGTATACGTCAAATTTGCGATTCGGATCCGGGGTATAGATATCAGACTGAAAATTCTGACCAAATAAGTTCCCTTCGTCTCATCAAGTAAAAAAGGTAGTGCAGTTACTTGGGTGGACTCGATTTCGTTCAACAGCCGAGCCTCGTGAGACTGGACAGAGAGATAAAACATCAGTTTCAAGGCTTCATGCCGGAATTTGCCGAAAAGATGAAGCAGCTCTTTGGCTTCAATGGTTGGGATAGAACAAATCATAGTTAATAATCTAAACCTTGATCCCGACGCATTTGGGCTGTTTTGAAAGGCAAGGCCTTGAGTTCCGTCAGTGTGTCTAACGCTACTGCACGTACAGTTTGGTGTGACAGTTTGGGGCCGCCAAGAAAAGACGCGACCCATGATTTGGTTTCTGGATTCGATATCCTATTCCTCTCAGCCCTTCTGCTGCAAGATAAGCTACTGATTCAATAAATTGATGCTATTAAATCTGTAGCCGAGAAGAGATATTGGTTTGTGACCTGCAGACAACGAAGTATATAGCGAGGTTTAGGCAGTTGCTACAATTATGATTTATCTTAAGATCAAAATAGACAAACATAAAACAATAATAGTTCCATGTCAGTATCGCAACTAGCAATCATATCAGTTTCTTTCATCATACTCTTGGCACTACCTATCTCCCTCGATATTTCCCTCAATTCGTTACCCAATCGTCCAAAACTGTTTCATTAGAAACTTAAAATATCACCATGTAAAGTCCCTGATTAATTGAAAAGCCGTAAAAATTTAGTAAACGCCATGGCCTCCAACCTGAGTTCATCATTCCATTTCATGCAACAGCCAATGGCTGGCTATTACTTTATTGCTATCTTCACCGGCACATAATGACAGAAGAGTTAGCATACCACGGCTGTCCTTTATTTCGCTCTTTATTGTCACTTTAAGCGTGAATATTTCAAAGTGCTGGCAGGGCCCTCAGAGATGCTAGCAATAAAAAGGAGGAAAGAGCAAGTCCACGACCACGTAATTCCACCAAGACACTGTGAGCTGGGCTAAATTCGAAGTAAATCTTGCGACAGAATCGTTGATTAGGTGTTCAATAGATGGTTTACATGGCTTGGAGACTGCGCGTTGTGAGAGAAGAGTGAAATCTGGCTGGGCGTGTGTTTTTCGTGTCGTGTCTTTCGTGTTTCCTCGACGCGCCCTTCGTAACACAAAACCTGACCCTTACGGCGCTGAATTCCTTTCCCTCCCTAAATCGATTTCTTCCTTACAATCATTGGCCGATATTCGCATCACCCACAGCTATCACAAAAGCTACACTAATATTGGAGAACGTACGATGGCCTCAGCTACGATGGGGGCTAGGGACGACGAGCGAAGACTCCTCTGCCTCCTGAACTCCAGACTAACGACCAGAAGGCGTTCTTGTTTGTCTGAAATTTGGATGCCTTCCAGAAAGGAAGAAGGTTGGGATCGTAAGCTAGAAAGACAGGTGGGGATGAGGGATGAATCTCGAGCTGCTCAAGAGATTATCGATGACGCTCTCCCAAATATTTTACAGGAAAACACAACGTTATGGCAAGCGACTCTTCTCATTTTTGGCGAATCCCCGTACAATACCTTTTCGAGAACGAATGGGATGATGTACCTCACGGGGAGTCAAGTCAACGTCGGCGATACAAGCCCTATCTTCACACATGCGTCAGTGGAACGTCTTTTGAGCATCATCAGCCACCCGTTCCTTTATGAGAGATCAACTTCCGAGACATTACGACTTTTCCTGCAATTTTCTGTGATCGCGGGGATTGGTGCCAGGACCGGATGGACCCCGCCGCTTGCGAGTGGGAAATCCGACTGTCCCGTTCTCGGCAGTCCTAATCCTATTCTCGATAGTCCTATTCTTGGCAGTCCCATTCTCAACGAGCTGAGGAAGGAGATGTTTCTAGTCTCAAAAAACGACCACCCTATCGAGTCGATATACGAACGATTTATTCGCTTGACGAAATCACATCCGGAATCCGTTGAGGCCTTGATACTTGCAAAAGTCGGGCACTTTGCCCATGCGAGGGCTCGAGGGTCTAATCAGAAAATTCAGGAGCGTCAAAAGGAGCTGTACAATCAAGAAGGCATTTGTGCGGTCTCCATTCATGAACTGATTGGCATATGCCAGGCACTAGACGAGGTGGCCTCCGCAAAACAAGAAATGTCAACCGAAAGAGCCCTTAGGGCATTGAAGGAAGCTATTCCCCGCTGGAGACCATTTCCATCACAGGAAGTTGCTTCCATCATGAAAGACGTCTGGAGATACGAATCTTGCCTTTCGTACAGATCACAACAGAGTCAAATTTCTGCAGAAGAAACCCCCCAGCAGCGCATGGATAACATCGGCACGACACCAACGCCAAAAGGTGCCTCTGGTGACTTCTCGGAGGTCCATAAACCCGATCAGAGCAACATGGCCATTGAATGTCAGATTACACGAGAAGTCATTGCCGTTGACACAGACGATGTCATGAACTGCTGCGCTGCGATCGACGATGCGCCAAGGAAGAGCCTTGCGGAACTCTGGATGGAGGGAATCCATTTGAACTGCCCGTCTAATATGAGCAAGTGAAGAGAAAGTAATGTAATGTTTGGGAGGAAATGTTGCCCGTGTGATGGTCAATACAGGGGTTCTGCAGTCCAAGTGATTATCTCTTGAAATTGCTTCAAGTATGGGCTCGGGATTGAATTTGACTTTTGGAAGCGCAGCTGTAGCGGATTGAAGATTTATCTCGTGTAAATGGATTGTCGAATGCCATGTGTTTGTCTCTGTTGGAAGAAGCATTGCTCATCTGAGCCAGATGTTGAGTGAGGCCATTGCCGCCCAGTGATAAAATGTCGATATCGCGATGCCCTTCCAGGCAACCATCTCGGCCAGGGAGGCACACAGACATGCTACTGCCCTCCCCTTGAGCTATGGCCAAGCGCCAGTGGTGCCGACAGTCCGTCCTTATCAGTGGGCTGACTTGAATGACCAGACTGTGGATCCTACACGGTTCTGTCAGATTGTCATCGCGACGACAGGATTCGCCCGGCCAGGACAGCCTGTGCCTGGTCTTGATTGCCGGCGAGAGATGAGTAACCGGCACTTGGAAGACCTAAATACCTACAAGCCAGAAGCAGAGGCAGAACAAGACTGGAAGCGCTAATATCGTTAGAGCAAAGGACTGGCCCGGCTTGGCTGCAGTCTCCTGCTTGGCGCTCGCGTGAGCAGTTGAATGGCCCAATTTCTCTCTCCCACTCGCTGACACCCTGCCTCGGTCTCCTCCGATGCTACCACACGTTCCTCCTCTGCGCGGATTAGGTACATTACAGGCTCTTTATTCACCTTAGCAGCGCTTATCAAGATCCCAGGCCATTCCCCAGGCTCCACCCAGCGCCCTGGTCTGGACTGGTTTGAGCCCTGGCACGGTGGAGAGGCTGATTAGATACACTGATAGTTTGTCTGGGGAATTGACTAAGATCAAACTTCGTGTCGTCAGACAGGGGCCTTGGCTGCTGAATGAGGTTTGGCCTGTTCCAGATCATGTCCTTGGCCCCGGTGATCCATCATGGAAGATCCTCATTAGGACAAGTTGGAGAAATGATAAGCATGTGAGCTGGAGCTGGGTTTTCTCTTCTCTGTGTGTATTATTGCCTCGCTTCCCCAAACATCGTTTGATCCAGAGGAGGCCTCTTCTCCAATTCCTCATACCCTCCCTCCATCACGGCGCCCATCCCTCCGTCGCACATTGGCCAAAGAGTAGGTGATACACGCTCTTTCAACCTCAATTCCCGTATTAACCTCGGCCGCAGGGAGAAAGAAAAAAGGATAGAGAGAGTGGTCGCAGAGTGGCCACGGGCAAACCTCCATCATGGCCGAGTCCCAAGCACAAACGGCCGACCAGGCGCTCGCCAAGCTGGGCTACAAGTCCGAACTGCCTCGTCACCTGGGGATGATGTCCATCCTCGGCCTCTCGTTCGCAATCATGGCCGTCCCCTTCGGCCTCTCCACCACCCTCTACATCACGCTCACAAACGGCCAGTCCGTCACCATCCTCTACGGCTGGGCCTTCGTCTCCCTCATCTCCCTCTGCATCGCCGCCTCCCTCGCCGAGATCTGCGCCGTCTTCCCGACCGCCGGCGGCGTCTACTACTGGAGCGCCATGCTCAGCAGCCCGCGCTGGGCCGCCCCCGTCAGCTTCGTCGACGGCTGGCTCGGCCTGATTGGCAACTGGACCGTCACCCTGTCCATCAACTTCTCCGGCGCGCAGCTTATCCTGAGCGCAATCTCCGTCTTCAACGAGGACTACGTCGCCAACCAGTGGCAGACGGTGCTGTGTTTCTGGGCCGTCATGCTGCTGCACGCCGCCATCAACGCGTTCGGGTCGAGGTACTTGGACTTCATCAACAAGCTCTGCGTGTACTGGACGGCCGCGAGCGTCGTCATCATCATTGTGACCCTGCTCGTCATGTGCAAGGACCGGCGGTCTGGTGAATTTGTATTCTCGCACTACGATGCGTCGGGCAGCGGCTGGCCGGCAGGCTGGTCCTTCTTTGTCGGCTTGTTACAAGGTACGGCCTCCCTTCCCATCTACGGACCATCATTTTGCACATCACAAACTAACATCTTGCCAATTCAAGCCGCGTACACCCTGACTGGCTACGGAATGGTGGCCGCCATGGCCGAGGAGGTTCAGAAGTGAGATATTCCAGCTCAATTCGCCACATGCGCTCAGTGATTCTAACGTTGATCCCCAGTCCCGAACGCGAAGTGCCCCGAGCCATTGTCCTCTCCGTTGTCGCCGCAGGCCTCACCGGTCTCTTCTACCTCGTCCCCCTGCTATTCGTCCTTCCCGACGTCAGTATGCTCCTCGAGGTTGCAAACGGCCAGCCAATTGGTCTGCTGTTCAAGACCGTCACCGGCTCCGCAGCTGGCGGCTTCGGTCTGCTCTTCCTGATCCTCGGTATGTTTAGATACAGTGTCTCTTCGTAGTCAAGGCGCAGCAACCCAACTAATCATGATGACAAGGCATTCACTTGTTCGCGGGCGTCGGTGCATTGACGGCTTCGTCCCGATGCACGTACGCATTTGCCCGTGACGGCGCCATCCCAGGGTACAAGCTCTGGAGTCGCATCAACCACCGCCTCGACATGCCACTATGGGCACTGGGACTGTCAACCGTTGTAGACTGCCTCCTCGGATGCATCTACTTCGGTTCCTCGGCCGGTTTGTCAACCATCCTCCTCCCCGTATAGACTCACTTCCCAGCATCTAACACAAACCCCCAACCAGCCTTCAACAGTTTCACCGGCGTAGCGACCATCTGCCTTTCCGCCTCCTACGCCGTCCCCGTAGGAGTGAACCTCGTCCAGGGCCGCAAGGCCGTCAAGAACTCGCCGTATCCCCTGGGCAGGCTGGGCCCCCTGATCAACTCGGTCTGCGTCGTCTGGATCTTCTTCGCGCTCGTCATCTTCTGCATGCCCGTGTCGCTGCCGGTGGACGCCAGCAGCATGAACTACGCGTCCGTCGTGTTCGCGGGGTTCGGCATCATCGCCGTGGTGTGGTACGTCGCGTACGCGCGCAAGAACTTCACCGGGCCGCCGGTGACGAGGGAGGAGATCATGGGGGAGTCGACGGGCGTCAAGATCGACTCGCCGCCGGACGTAGAGCACGAGAAGAAGCTGGAGACGTAATGGGTTGGAGGAACGGGTTGTATATGTATATGGATAGGAGTTGTGTGTATATTCATAATATCTAAAGACGGCGTCTCGTTACAAGAGAAAGAGATATCATATCTATCAATGCGCCCCGAAAATCAACATAATCCCCAGTTACTAGTGGTATCACATTACAAGTACAAGACCGCTCTCCGGCTATTATTGGCCACCCAAAAGTGCTCATTAACACGTGCACAGGCTTCGCCTCCCTCTCTTTCTTCTCGATGCTGGGAGACTTCATTTAAACAACGTCGCCAGTGTTGAACAGCTCAAGGTGCTGCCTCTCCAGAGGAACGCCATGCTCCAGCAGCCACTCCTTGACAAAGAGCATCCACGCCTCAGGCCCGCAGATGAAATACTCAGCGCCATCATTCTCCAGCGACAGAGCCTTCTCCTCGGCCAGCTTCCCAAGATCCAGCCGACCCTCAAAATCGAACGCCTGACCCTTCACCTCGCCCTCCTTCACCTCCTTGAGGAAGATGGTAGCGGTGACGTTCTCGTGCTTGGCCGCCACCTCCCGCGCGTGCTCGACGAAAAGCGACGTGCCCGCCCGGCGCGCAGCGTGAATCCACCTGATGGGCCGCGTGCCGGTCGTCGGCGACGCAAGGACGGCATCAAGGATGGAGCGCATGGGCGTTGCGCCGACGCCCGCCGAGAGCAGGACGATGGGCTTGTCGCCCTCGACGGGCACGGCAGGGTCGATGAAGAACTCGCCATGGGGGGCGCTGAGCTCCACGACGTCGCCGACGTTGTACTTGGCGTGCAGCAGGTTCGAGACCAGGCCGGGCACCTGGCCGACCTCCTTGGTCGCGGCGTCGGCCTCGCCAATCGTCTCCTCGCGCTTGACGCTGACGCGGTAGTAGGTGGGCTGCTTGGCAGGGGCCTCGCTCAAGCTGAACTGCCGGCTCTGCTTGAAGTCGACGCCGGGGATGGGCAGCTGCAGGCTGATGTACTGGCCGGGGAGGTAGGAGGGGATGGGCTTGCCGTCGACGGGCTCGAGGTAGAAGCTGGCGACGGCCTCGTTCTCGAGCTCCTTCTTGACGATCTTGAAGTCGCGCCAGTCGGTCCACTCGCCGTCACCCTTGTACAGGGCGGCCTCGCGCTGGATGAAGACGTCGGCAAGCTGGAGGTAGGCGGCGACCCAGGCGTCCTTGATCTCGTCGGTGAAGGCGTCGCCGAGAACGATGCCGAATGCCTCGATGAGGTACTTGGCGACAATCATGTACTGGTCGGGCTGGATGAAGAGCGAGACGTGCTTCTGGGCGATGCGCTCGACGGCATGCTGCAGCTTGGGGAGATCGTCAATATACGTGGCGTAGGCGAGGACGGAGGCAGCGAGAGCAGCGGGTTGGGCGCCGGTTGCTTGGCTTCGCATGGAGAAGACGTTGCGCAGTTCTGGGTTGTTTCCAATCATGTTCTTGTACATGGTGGAAGTTACGGTGGTGCCATGTTCCTTGAGAATGGGGATTGTGGCCTTGACAATGTCAATCTGAGCCTGTGTAGGAGCCATAGCTGTAGTCTAGATGTGAAAAGGGGTTGCGGATGAGGTTGATGGATGAATCGATTGGTGAAGATGGGATTCGAGCACAGTCATGGCAATTGACCAAACCACGGATTTATATATCTATCTATATTTACTCTCCCGGTTGTGCATGGAATCCCCGGATATGAGCTAGCAACTAGGCGTGGATTGATTCCTAAGCTTCCCGTTGGGATATCCTCAGATTCTTCTTGAGGCGATGGTTCGTGGGGTGATGTTTTGGACTGCATCTCCGCGGAGACTGATTTTTGGGCGCCACCGGCTCGGCACGCGCAGGAACGGTTTTTCAGGAACGGCTAAAAATGATGACGGTCGGTGTGTCATTGGTTTGCAGAAAACAATTGAAACAATCAGTACGGTGACTGGACGTGGTGGTGCAAGTCGCGATGCTGGTCCATGCCTTTCGTAGCAGCTCTCTGCTGTTTTCGACGCATCGTCATGGTAGAATAAGCCTTATATTCTGCTTCTAAGGGATTACACTGCCGCTGCGATTCTGCCAGATCCTGCAGGCTGGTATTCCATCATTCCGACAAGGGCCACTCCACACTTTGGTGCTGACAAAAATGAGATCTGTGAGTGGTTTTCGCAAGGCTCCGTCTCGTTCGCCGAGTATCCACTGCGAGTCATCTAGATTCACTTTGGAAGCCAATGACGGACAGCGCTCAGCGTTTCTCTGACATATTATGACCTGATGTGAGCGCAGAACAGGCACGAGAACATTCCGGGACGCCCAACATGGATGTTGCGTATTGCGGCTGAGCTTGAGCCTGGGCAACGGACAAAACCGGGGTAGATTGACAGACGAATAACCTCTTCCTACGTGCCTGATTGCTCCAACTCTGTTCAATGGATAGAATACCTAAATTTAAGATGACTTGAAGGCCATGATCACATCTTCTCGAACAGTTAATTGAACACCCAACGTGCTTGCCCCAGAGAATACCCGTGTCGTAAATACGAGTTCTCGTTCGCTATTATCTCGGAGTAAAGAAAATTTCAAAGCCAGCAATTGAGCCTCGTCATGCCGAGATGGTCTAGGGTCGGGAGGGACGGAGCGGAAGAACGAACGTCAGAAAAGGGCCGTTCCGACACATGAGAACGAGGACAATTCATTGCATTGATGCCTCATAGATCTCCGTGACGTCTCCGCGGAGACTGTCGCCTGTATGACATGTTATGAGTTGCTATGGATGTTATTCTCACTTCTGACCTTTTCTTCCTTGACTCAGGTCTGACAAATTGAATAATGGATGTATTGAAGGAAGGCCAACAACACGAAAAGCCCCCCAAAATTTACCCAAAAAATAAAATGAGCTTGTGCTAATCTAGAACCGCTGCACGGGATTGCCATATCATGGCGTCTAGAGATGTTTCTACATGAGTCCTGTCGCAAGATGTGTTTGGGAGAGTTGCAATTCCTCGTGATACAGGGTAGGTAAGCGATTACGTGCAAATTCTCGTCGTGTTTGAGAGTGCTCCAGGGTAGCAATCCGGGGCACTGGACAACAGTGGACATTGATAGGGGGCTGTCCGCCGGAGTCAGCTGGGAGGCAGCCGCGGGTGGAGAGCGTCAGCAGAGGCGCCCGCTAAGATGCAGCAAACAGCCCTGTAAACAGCCCTGCCGGCTCGGCCCATGTTGCCTGAAGGGTCACATTCGGTTCAATCGGAGATAGAGCAGCGCGCTGGGCGTTTTCGCTCTTTAACTACGTGTAAGCATATATTAAAACATAAATGATGAGCCTATTTCAATCATGATAAATAAAGTTGGCGTGCGATGGCAAGTCCAACGGTCCAACTACCGGACTGCCGCGACGAGGCGCTGTAGCTGCGGTGCCACGGACAGAACAAGCAATAGCCCCGTGCTTCACTGAGTGCGCGTAGTGACGAACAGCAGCCAAATCAATTCTGGCTCTCTCAAGGCTGCCTGGTAAAGCTATAAACAGGATTTGAATCAAGGTTATATGTGCTGGCATGGCATGAGCTTAAATGGGATTAGAATTTTAAAGTGACCCTTTGGCGGCCAAGGGTCAAATACTGTAGTCAGGTCAGAGTTTTCTCGCGCCTAATAACAGCCGATAAGTCAATGGCTGCGTGTGTTGGCTGAGGCAGGGGATCATAGCTCACAATCCCTCAGCTCAAGGCGCTGTCATATGCAAGGGGTCACCACCTGACGCTGGCCGTCTCACGTAGACGCCGGGCCTGTATGACGCGACCAGCGTGCGGGCGTCTGGACTCTGCACACACAATTGATGCCAGTACAGGATCGGTGAAAGGGCTGATGGGTTCGGCGTTTGAGTTACGGAAGCTGGCGAATGAAGGAGTCCTCACACTCGGGCAGACTAACTGTCTTGGTCGACGGTGGTGTCGTCGGCAGAGACGAGAGAGGACAAGCCTACGCTGGCCAAGACAAGCCCTGGCTGGACTTTGATCAAGACTGGATCCTCATTATTCCTACCGTACCTATCATGTAGGAGCCGTTAGGTCGTGGTGGACTGTGAAACATGGTTCCATCTGCCTGTCTGTGCCACCGCTCGCTCCCTGCGCAGGCTCTCCTTGGACAAACATTGATGATACAGTGAGGGGCAATGTCCAGAATCCAATGCTCCCCCTTTTCCTGTTCAGAGCATTAGCGCTGCGTGAGAGCTGTGTACCTGCATACAAATGGCCAATTGACATGCATGGTGTTGCGCCATACCACCTATTCATTGATTCATACATCCTGCACATGTCTGCAGGCAGGTTGGCGCGTTGAATTGAATTCATGTAATTTTACCGTCTCTGCAATTGCCCCTCGACTCAAAAATATCCCAAATCGCCTGTGGTTGGCCAATCCGATGGCCAAACTCGCATGTGTTTCTGACGCAAACCGCTGCTGGATCCAAGATGTCCGGATCTTATTTTTCTCTCCTTTTTTCCTCTGCCCTTGATTTCGATGCCATCTGTGGCACAATCGCCATCGTATCTCGCTACAGGTCCCAAAACAAGGCACCGCTGCTCACAAAGGACTTTCGGTTGGCCAATCTCGACCTTTCATTTGGCCCAATCCCTGCCAGCCCGCGGTTTTTCTTCCTTGAGCGTATGTAGTAGTCGGCTCGCGGGGTTTGTGCCTCAGGTCTGGAGCATGGCTTGGGACCTGAAACGTCTGCCCTGAAGCCCTGATCCCTACACTCCCTCACTTTGAATCTGCGGCTGCTCGGTTCCCGGGGTGAGAAAGGATCCCTGCGCTGGGGCCTCTCTCCGCTTTAAGCATGTTGCCGCCCGGGCTCATCGCTCCGAAATCCGAATCCGTCAGTAGATGTGAGATGAACCTCTGGCCTGCCACATGTTCGGGCTTGGTCAGCGGCGACAGGACGTGTGTAACCCATATCAGAGCCATTTCCTTGGTCGAGGCCCCCTGCCATCAGCTAGATGATCGAAACGAGCCAACGCCTAGTGCCTGAAATTATGACTGCATATTTTCATGTTCCAGATAATCGGTTGCTCGCCTCGTGATTGGGCTGGTGTGGTCACGACATGGGCTTCCAACCCATGGACCCGACCGTTGGCTTGTCGTCTCCTACCTGACGGGAGAGATGATGGATGGAGCCTGTTTAGAATTGCGTTACGGGTCGTGGCGGGACTTGCCAGTCTCGAAGCCTCCATCGCCGCCGTGTGACAACCAGCAGAGCATCGTATAAAGCTCGCAGACCTCCTCTGCCATGTTGCTGATTCTTCCCTCTCCTCACCAAACCATAGCCTCCTGGCCAGGATACACTCTCTCTTTCCACCTCTCTTTTCAATTTAGCTGGCTGTGCCGGAATACCAGAACTTGACGTTCTACCACGCATTCTCTGAACATACATTCGAAAACATACGCAACATTTGCGCATCGATTCTTCACTTCCAACGAGAACTTACATTCCATTCTTTTCCAACCCAATCCTAAACCGTCAACATGCGTTGCACCGCTGCTACTATCCTGGCCATGGCCAGCGTTGTCTCTGCCCACACCCACCTTTGGAGTGTCTGGATCAACGGCGAAGACCAAGGCGATGGTCGAAGCAAATACATCCGAAGCCCCCCCAACAACGACCCCGTCAAGGACCTGACCTCCCCCAACCTTGTCTGCAACGTCAACGGCGGCAAGGCCGTCACCGACTTCGTCTCTGCTGCCGCTGGTGACGAGATCACCTTCGAGTGGTACCACAACACCCGCGCCGACGACATCATTGACCTGTCCCACAAGGGCCCCATCATCACCTACGTTGCCGAGTACACCGACAGCGATGGCACCGGCGGCATCTGGACCAAGATTGCCGAGGAGGGCTACGACGGCTCCAAGTGGGCTGTTGAGAAGCTCGTCTCCAACGGCGGCAAGAAGGTCGTCACCATCCCCTCTTCCCTGAAGGCCGGCAAGTACCTGTTCCGCCAGGAGATCATCGCCCACCACGAGTCCGACACCGCCTACAACGTCAACTCCGCCCGTGGTGCTCAGTTCTACCCTACTTGCGTCCAGGTCGAGATCACCTCCGGCGGTAGCTCCAGCCCCAGCGAGAACTTCGACTTCAACACCGGCTACACCTACGCCGACCCCGGCATCGTCTTCAACCTCTACGGAAGCTACACCAGCTACACCATCCCTGGACCTGCTGTCTGGGCCGGCGGTGACAGCGGCTCCTCTCCTTCCTCCTCAGCCGCTGCTCCCACCGCCACCGCTACCACCAGCGCCGGCTCTGCTCCCACCTCCTCAGCTGCCCCCAGCACCTCGGCTGCGCAGCCAATCACTTCTTCTCCTGCTGCCACTCAGACCGCCACCCCCAGCTTCACCTCCATCGTCACCTCCGCCACCGCCCGTCCCACCAACGGCGGCAACAACGGCGGCTCCCCCAGCGCCAGCTCCAGCGCCGCCGTCCCCAGCTCTACCAAGGCCCCCAGCACCTGCGCCAAGAAGCGCTCCATCCGTGGTGGTGCCCGCCCCAAGCTGTAAGCGGATCATTAAAAAAAGGACCATCCTGTCTTGTCTTCCTGGGTCTGGGACTCTCGAAGCACTTGGATATCAGTTTCTTTCTCGCATTCCTAGTGTCTAATTAACAGTGGTTTTTCTTTTCCGGTGGTGGATTTGTCTCGGGGGACTGAGTTGCACATAGAGCATTTCTGTAACAAATAAAAAAAGACTGGCTCATCAATTTTATCTAGTACTATAATTTGTGATGTGTACAATGTAGAAGTTCCTCTCCATATTCGTTGGTGTAGCAATCTAAATCGTACCCTGCGCCCTTTACCCCTATCCATATCCTTTAATTAACCCTGACCGGTATCACGATCATCGTCGGCGTGGACACATGTGATGTTCTCGAGCAGACTCTCGTCCACGTTGCTGCATTCGTAGACGGGAGGCTCTCCGCTGGGCACGGTGACGGTGATGTTGTGCAGGTTGATGTTGCTGCAACGCTGTATTGCTGGTCAGCATTTGTCCCTCTGATTTCACTGTCTGGACAACTTACGTCTGCTGCACTACAAACCAGGGTGCCGGCCTCAGGATCATACTTGGAAGAAGTGACTCCCCAGAAATTCTTCATGGTGATATCGTCGATGGTGAGATTCGCCTGCAGAACACTTATCAGAAAGCGCCTTGTGTAGGGATTGGAGAATACTCACGGGGAACTCATTGCATAATGTTTGGTTTGACTGTCCGTAGCACTGAGTGATTGTGATGGCCCTGTCGTTGTTGTAATGGTAGAATGTGTCGTAAGTGACGTTCTTTACACGGCCCAGCCCGCCACCGCCATTGAGATCGCTCTGGAAGTCCGTCTCGATGCCCGGCCAGACCTTGATACGGGCACCGTCGCTCGCATTGCTCATGGAGATGTTGAAAATGTGCAGGTCCTCTACGATGTCTGTGATGTTCCTGTACTGCCCGAGGGAGCCGATGCTTATTCCGTGCGAGCCGTCGCAGATGAGATTCTGGACTACGATGTCTGTGCTGTTTGGCTTGAAAGAGACACAATCTGTAGGAATAATTAGGTCAATGGTGAAATGCATAATTGAAGTAGGATGGAAGGCAAACCGTCAGTGTTATCAATGATGGAGTCTTGGATGACAATACGTTCGGATCTGTATGTATCCCAGCCATCAGAGTTCGCAATTTTGACATCATTCTCGGACTGAATTGGCCAAAGTCAGCATTTGATTCCAGAGCTGCACCATACAAAACCTCTCACCTTGGCCTCAAGATGCATGTCACTGATGATGACATCGGAGCTGTTCGCAATAATGTTGAACCACTAAGACCCGTTAACACCAGGAATCCCATTCGAAGACTTTGTAGTACTCACAAAGGCAGGGTTCTTCATGCGCAGATTGGACATGGAGCCACCGTGCAGACCCTCAATGGCGACGAGCAGTGGGCGCCGAAGCTTTCTCTCGAATCAGCCTCACTCAATTGACAAGCGACGTACAGAATGAAACCTACCGTTTTGTTTGTCTGATTCTCTTCCCAGAACGCCTGGCCGTGCCCGTGAATAAGCGACTGGTCATTTGTGAGATCTCCGTATATGTTGACATCCTCGCCTCCAATCATCCAGATTGCCGAAGTGTTCTGGAAGGGGAACTTGAAGCTGTTGTCTGCCCAATAGTACACGTCCGAATCATCCATATGCACCTCGCCCGTGATCACCACATCAACGTGTTTGAGGAAGGTCAGGTTCAGCGGTGAGGAGATGGTGTACACCTTGTCCAGGACGACGGTGCCGCCGTCATTGCACTTCTGGAACGCCTTCAAGATGCGAGGAGCCGAGTCCTCTCCATCTTTGCAGGGCCCAGGGACGAAGCAATACTTGTCGTCGTCTCGAGGAGGCGAGTGCGGTCGGGACACCGCAGGGCCATACGGCGCGGGGATCAGCACCGGTCGATCGGGGATTGAACGCCCGTTTGAAAGCTCCACCGAATAGACGAGGTCGGGGAAGCTCAGGAGAGCAGCGAAGATGGTGAGGATAGACCTCATGGCGAGATTGGAAGGATACGACGATCCCTGGCTTCAATGGCTCGGCTCGTCCCTGCACTCTGTGCAATTTCGCTGACGAAACATTCTGTGAACCAGCTCGTCGTGGCTTTTGGCCCAGAGTATTAAATACTTGAATATTTTAATGAGATGGCTTAGGATGACGACGCCGAATTGGGCTTGCAGAAATGCTATACGCGGAAGATTTGAGTGCTACCCACCCGGTTATTCATCTCTCGGAATTTGTTTCTCCGATCTTGGGGAGGCGTTCCAGTAATCGAGCCTTCCCCCGGGAATGGGGTAACCCCGTTGGTAAATAGCGTTCCTGGTTCCCCGGTGGTTTGTGCCTTGATGTAACGTCGGTTGGGTCTGTAAGACTGAAGCCCCCTGCCTTGGGACATGTAGATTCGTCATCTTGGAGATATTGGGATGAAATGCACCGCAGGTCGTATGACTGTGGGCTCACCGGCTAGAATAGATTGGATGAACAGCCCCTGTTCTCGCTTGCGGCTTGCAATCTTTCAGTGAAGCCACCAGAGCAAGTGGCTCATATCTTCCACATATGATACTCTATCAGAAATGCCATACCTTCTTCATTTGTACCTTTCATGGAAAATTTAAGTTTGTGACCTTTAATTGGTCTGGGATTGCACTGAACTACTCTAAGCTGAGGCAGTTGAGAGGCAGCATTTAGTCAAATTGTATCGTGCTAAAAATGTGTGCCAATTATCAATTGCACTTTTAGCCTGCGATTGAAGAACAAGCTGATTGAAACTGGGGCTTTTGACGAAATCATCCACTGTTTGGTGTAGAGTTTGAATATAAAACGACGAGTGAGTTCCAACCTCTCGTACTTCCACCAGTCTACCACAGCATTTGGTTATTATAGAAATCTTTGACTCCCAAGATTATATTCGATCGAGAGCACACTCATACTCATCAGATGGCTCAGGAACCAGGAACAATAAGGCTGAGCTCATTCAATGACGATCTCGCAACTGTTCCTGGCGCTCCAAGCAAACAACGAATCACGATCCATCCTGATGAGTTCCAAATCCCCAGGCTCTTTACCAGCCTCTAACCATCTTTTATCTTCTTCACTTGTGAGCAAAACAGGCCCATTGGGATCCTCAACCAGCATTTTCCCCCGAACCGCGGAGTTCCACCTGCCGTATTTGCTGAGTAGGTATTCGCGTACGCGCCCAGACCAAGGCCAACGAATCGCCTTGCCATCGGTCAGGTTTGTACATGTTCCTCCAATGCAAAGCCTTTCAAGATTCGGCAACTGCTTGAGAACGATTCTTGCAGCTTGTTCCGTTTTTTGTATATGCCCGAACGCCTCATATCTCCCGAACTTAGCACCAAGAACCCCCATGTAGGCGACATCATATCCTTCCAACGGCTCGACATGCATTCCTATGTGCGATGGATCTGGTAACTCAAGGGTTTTAAGTCGGTCAAAAAGTCGGAGGAAGCGGAGATATTTCTGTCACAATGTTAGCACAATGAGCCTGTTGCTTACTATAAATTTGTTCTGGATTGAGAAAGACTTGCTTTTAGTTTATGTCCCTCTGGGTAAGATGGGTACCTCCAGTAATAAAAGCTCACGAAATCCACCTTACCATCAATTTCCAGTCTTTCTAATCTTGGTACTGCCTTGTACAGTTCCAGGAAATCACGCTCGTCCCAGGAAGAATGCAGTCGGACGCTCTTCAAACTTGGTAGGTCTGATATGATTTCCAGCACCTGTTTCCGGTACCTTTCTTGCGATTGACGTGGAGACAGAACCGGATCGTATGTTAGCGACTCTAGGTTGGGCGCCATAGCGGCGAGGAATATAAAATTTGACCGCAGGTGCATATTTTTGACAGCTGGCAACGAAAGCCGGCGTTCGGTGAACATTTTCTCAAAATATTCCCCTTGGAAAGTCCCTTCAGGGCCTTTCCATTCGATTGTCTGCAGGTTGGGCATGGAGGTTAGAACGTCAACAAACAAGTCCGCCAAAGCAGTCGGGGCATCGGTTTGCTCTTCTAGTTCATTGTGTGTATCAATTGGGACGAGCTTTTCGCCCATATATCGGTATTTAATCGTCACATTGGGGTGAATCATTACACCTCCCGAGGCGGCCGTGGAATTAGGAGATCCAGGTCCCTGCAGAGACGGGTAGCATTCATGCCGATAGATATCGACGTAAAATCTTGCACATGACTCAAGGGCTGCTGGGCAGTCTAGGATCTCGGATAGCCTATCCTGAGCATTTTGCCATCCCCGACGAGGTGTTGAGAACCTGGTGTTGTCGATAAACAATTCATTGAACAGATCATCTGGAACGCTGAATGGGACAGAGTTTCGAAGTGGAGATTCTTGGTGGCAGAGGACCTCCTTGGGGTTGCCGTGCAATTCTAATATGTGGCGGTTTGCATGGATGTAGTCGTTATCGAGATCTAGAATGAACTGGGGGATCTGATTTGAGTTGGACCTAGCGCTGAAGGCCGGGTCTTGAAGTGCAGAAACGAAAACAGAGAAAAAGGCAATGGCGAAGATGGATATCATCATGGGTTTGCCAGACAGGGGACATGTATGAGAAGGCATTCAAGTGTTGCCTCTTTGCTAGGCCTTAGTTATTGGATGTTCTTGCTCCTGAAATTCCAAACGACATCCATCACGGGTGAAGGCTGTGATTTTATAGCCCCAAGTTCTCCTGAGAGAACATAATAGCAAGCATGATGCGTGCTTTAGAACACGTTGTCTCTTAGAGCTATCTGGGCTGCGCATTGTATTTAGAACAGATTGCAATGCAAAAAGACAGACTGTAGACTGGAGAGGCGGATTGATTTACAGGGTGCCCTGGAGTCTCGGCTCTCTGTATTTGCTAGTCCTTGACGGCTCGGGTGACTCACTGTCGAAATACATGGTTGGGGCCTGTTCGAGGCCGTCCAAAGTCCCATCAATGCTGACAGGTGAGTTGGCCAACAATCTAAACCTGCCAGTGTTATGCTTCACACTGAAAAAGGCCACAGTTTCTCTTTCCGCGGCGCATCCCAGAGCGAGCTGATGCATAGGTAGGATCGGAAGCCCTTGACCAACTTGAAAAGATGTGAACCTCCTGGTCGACAGGATCACGTGGGCGCTGGAGCCCATCACGTCGATCACTCGTGGGGTGAACTCTCGGCCTAGGGGTTTCCGGGGATTAGACGAAATGAATGCAGATTTATTGAAGCCAAGTGGATATTCCTGAATCCTTGGTTCATTCGGACAGAGAAGCCGTCGCGTTAGTACATGCACCAGAGGCCGGGACCCGTGATTTGCTTTTGATTGTATTATCTAATTTCGTGTGTTGCTTTCTTGCATCGACGATTGATTTGTACAAGATTCCGTTTAATTTGATTAATTGATCGAGTGCCTTGACTGACTCTTGAAGGTTTACAGAGTTTTCCTTCCACATGACTGCAGCCTTGGGCTAGTAGAGCCTATTTTTGCCTTTCGTATTCATTGTTGAGATGTTGGGTCTGGCATCTTTCATTGTTGTTTTTTAACTTTATACTCGAACTCTCTCACCCGCCTTGACTGACTCAGAACCGTGTTGCGCTGTTGTATCAACCAAAGAAAGATCTCGATTCTGACACGCGCGGGGTAGTCAGCCTTGCCAGCACAGAACCCTGGTGCCTGATTGATGAAAAGCACTGGTTCGGAAAGAAAAGAATCGACGGGTGATGTGCAATTGATCAGGGTGGCGACTTGGCCTGTGGAGTGTTGATCGACAGAAGAGGATCATCCCTCATTTGGAAGCAATTATTCGCCAAATGTGAGCCTGAATTCTCAGTTAGAATAAAATCGGTGCCCAATTTCGAGTGAGCACTAGAACATGAGCTGGCTCACCGCAGATCGACACCCGAGATTGCAATATCAAACGCTATACCTCTTATGAAGCAGTGACCTGGGCATCTACTCAAAGACTGCTTGCTTCACCTTCGACCAACGCCACTTTCGTCGCTGCTAGCAACTGTCAAACAGAACGAGATGTCACACTCTAATTTCTTAAGCTTCATGGCGTCGGCCAACTGTCAACTCCCGCCCTGGTGGCTGTTGAAACCCGTGAAACCCGTCACGTATTGCGTGTTCGATGACATCCGCAACCCCTGGACTATCCCGTTCAGTGATAGTCACACAGCCCGCTCACTCAAACTCTGACGCCACGTCCAGCTAGTGCCCTGATCGACGTCGAGGCGAACTACAGACTACGCTACTGCTCGTCAAACAGGCCGTTGGATGCCCAATGTTCCGAGAGCCACTCTCCCTCAAGCCTGCTTTCTCGAGAATCCACAGCATTGTCGTCCCAGATTCCGAGCGACTGCCGACAAGCAAAGCCCCGATGAAACCCTCCACCTGAAAAAGGCTATACGCCGGGCTCTAGCCGAGACCCTACGCAGGTCATGTCCCACGTACTTGGGCCCAGCACTGGGTACCGGGATGAAGATCCGGATCGCTACTGGGGATTGGGGTTGCTCTAAGCCCCAAAAGTATCATTTGGTACGGATCCTATGCTAGTGGACAGGGACGTGGTCAGTACTTGAGAAAGTACGGAGTAATCACTAGTGAAGTATTTGGCGTTCTTGCGTTACGCTGCACCCCGGAGTTTTGCTTTTTAGACAACTTGATCTCCTGCATGTTTGGCAGGCCCCATGGTTCCCTGTGTCTTTCCCTTCATCCGGACCAAGAGGGAGTACTGTGTCTGACCGCAACCTCTCGGCCAGTTTTCAAGATGGAGTCTCAGGTGTACATCCACTGGACCCTCCTTGGTATCACATTCGCTTTTGCAACCATCGCAATACTGCTGCGAGTATTAAGCAGGGTTCTTACGCGTCTGAAGTTTTGGTGGGATGATTGGCTTGCCATCACATGCTACGTAAGATTTACTGCTGGTCGTTTTGACATTGGGCCTTGGAAGCTAACAAGTCGTTGTCACATAGATTATCGACGTCGTATGGCTGATTATTATTATCATCTGTATGTTGGAAACCTCTCCGTGACAATACGAATACTGGGCTAACCATACTCTCACCACAGGGGTGCAGAAGGGGCTGGGGAAACACGTCCACGACGTGACATGGGGTCCTATTGAGGATGTCCTCACGATCAACAAACTGCTCCTCTACGTTGCCGAATTATTCTACGCCTTTGCACTCTTCTTCGGCAAGGTCTCTATTTTGGCATTCTACTGGAGAATGTTCGGCGTCACGAATATCAAGCTTCCAATCCAGATCCTCTTGGGCTGTTCAATCGTCTGGATCATCATCAGAGTGAGCTTTGTTACGTCTCAGCTGAAGCCAGCAAATCATCATGCTGACAGATGCAATAGACTTTCATGGGTATATGGCATTGTGTTCCAATCCATGCTTTTTGGGATTCCAATGCCGGCGGATACTGCGCTATCGACGACTCAAAGTTCTTCTTTGGTACCATTCTGGTTCACGTCTTGATCGACTTGGCCATTCTTTCATTGCCCGTCATGCAGATCTACAAGCTCAACTTGCCGCTTATGCAGAAGATTGGTGTCATGTTGATGTTTGGGTTTGGTGTATTGTAAGTGTAGTTCTTCGACTGGATTATATGAAAGCAGCCAACTGACAGCAGGCGTAATCGAATAGCATCTGTGTGGCTGCGGTTGCCATTATAGTTGAGTCTGTCAACTTCGACGCAAAATCAATCGACTTCACATGGAACATTAGCAGTATTGTCTTCTGGGCCACAATCGAGGTCCCTTGTTACCGTGTCAGGTATTTTACTCCCCCCATCCCGTCATTCGCCAATAGACGTAAGTGACCAAGGCTAACCATCTGTTTCACAGCGTCCTTGCCTACCTTCCGACCAGCCTTGAACTTCATCTTCAAACGCAAACTTCCCGGAAGTTCAGCTATGGAGTCTGGAGGTGCTTCTCACGGGCTCTCCCACCGCGGCAGAATCTCAACAAAAAACATGACTGCGATTCCCAGCGAAGCAGATGAGACTGCGTCAACATATGAGCTTGCCGACGTTCTACATGGAGAAGGCTCTTCGAACGGGGGATTCGAGCACCACGCCATCGACAAGCCGTTCGGCGTAGCTACGGTCATCTCTGGAGATACCCAGAGCAACAAGTTTCGTAAAGAGAGCCACGATGAAGAGGGAATTTTGGTTAAAAACACGATGACGATTAAGATTTCACGAAGGGAAGATAGCCCGACGAATGATGGCTTGGAGGAAGATAATGTCAAAAGGCATTCCAGAAAGGATTCCTACTAAAAATGCAGAGGAAAGTCTACTGCTTTAATTAAGATGATAATAATGTTAGTTCAGAGAAACAGAAAGTTAGCTACGGTAGTTATTGTTTTTCGTCGACCCCCGCGTTTTTCAGCGACAACAGCAGTGCATTGCATTGCTTTGACGGGTGATTTTTATTAGGTTATAGACTTGACATAATTAATGGCTGAGACACCTTGTCTAATCATCTTTCTTCATAAAAAGTTAGAGAGTTTGCCGTTGGGAGTAAACGCATGGCCCGTAGGGGGCGCTATGTAAAGATTTGGGGACTTTTCAACGAGCAACCAAAATGGTAGCGATCTTGATTGGTGAGGGCGGAACAAAAGGTCCAGTTGATGCAACAGTATTGCTGATAGCAGTGGTGCCATTTACGAGAAGGAATGCAATGAGTGGTTAACCGAATGCACCTACAAGGGGGGATGCTACGCACTTCTTTGCCCCCATGAGCCGGAATACAACTGCCGCTCTGCAATAGGCCCAGGGTCAATATTAACTGGCCAACCAGGAGAAAAGATGCATCAGCCCCTGCTAAGAATAGCATAGAATAGCGGCAGCTCATAGCCATGCCTATGGACTCGGGACGGTTACACGACATTACTGCAACGCGCGGCTATCCCGTACATTGGCACTGCATTTTTATGATCCCTCGATCATACCAAACACTTCCACCTTCTCCTTTTAGAAAAAATGCCCCTTCGTTTACAGAGGAGGCATTTGCGACGCTGAGGAGTGGGGGCTACTACATAATACTACCTCGTTTCTTGGAACGCTTATCTGAGAAGCTGCATGAGAGCAAAACGTGGCAAACCACCACGAAAATTCCTGCTGGCTTTTTTCGTGCGTGAAAACATCCTTTCCTCATCTTCTCCAATATCCTCGAATACAGCGCCCCAATTGCAGGGCACATAGAGCCCAGCATGGAGGAGGAGCTGCCGCCAAATAACAACATCATGGGCTATGCCATCATCAGCCTGTGCCTATTGATTGCAACAGTCGCTCTGTTACTTCGTGTGCATGCGCGCTTTATCGTGCTCCGGAAACCCCTCTTGGCAGATTGGAAGTAGTATCTTTGTATTTACCCCTTGGAAACCGTACTAATTGTTGTTTTCAGACCTTCTACTTATTGGATACGTTTGTCTTCCGCGACCACCGACACTCGATGTTTATGCATTTCGCTCACGATGATATTCTAGGCTATCTGGGTGGTATATCTCGGGCTCGGCTATCAATTAGGCCAAAACCCTGGCCTTTTTGTGCACATGGCCGACTTCACAGAACTCCTCTCGAACGACCCCAGCTTGCTGCTACCCTTCTTCCGAGTACGTCTGATTTGGTGAACGATGATCAACCTTCTCGGCCGCGCTAACAATGCTGGCCTGGACCAGACTTTAAAGCTGCTCTGTGTCATTCTGAGCATCTACATGGTATTTCTCAAATCAGCCATCTTGCTGGAATGGATCCATATCTTCGCATTAGGAACCAGACGAGGCGCGGAGTTTTGGGCTGTGTATATGACCCTCGGCGCCAACATAATTTTCTACACTTGTGTTATCATGATGGAGAGTACATCCTGTACCCCATTTGCATACAAGTAAGTGACTTTGTTGTGCCGTCCAACATGACTGCGCACCAGTTCCAAGCGTGCTCCAAACACAGGAGACAGACTGACTGATGATTTCTAGCTGGGATAAGCAGATCGAAGGCCATTGCAATGTGTTCAACTCGCCCTTGATTGGCATCGTCACTTCGAGTTTCAATTTGGCTACGGACGTAGTCATTTTTATCATTCCGCAAAAGGTCATTTTCAGTCTTCAAATGTCCACTCACAAAAAGCTTGGAGTCTCGGTCGTGTTTGCAATTGGCATTATCGGTATAATCGCGGCTGCGGTGCGAACCACATACATGATCCGGCTCATGCTTGCGATTGAGGGAGATATGACGGTAAGACGATCTCCATTGATGAGGCTAGCCGGTTTTATTTCCTGTACTGACACCTCTGTTTAGTACTATTTCTCCTCAGTACTAATGACCTGCGCTGGCGAGGGTGCCAGTATCATCTTGGTTATGTGCTGTCCGATCCTGCCGCGAGCAATTGGATCATTGGCCTCAACCTTCTCGACGATCGGTTCCTGGACCACCTCTTCGGGAGAGTGGCTAAAAGGTTCAATGAGCACCAAAGAACGTACATCTTCGTCACAATGCCTACCTAGACACGGGTGCGTATCTACCAAAGATACAGACTCAACTCTGCTCACAGATGAGGTCCGATTGGTGCCCCTTTCAGGTTTGGAGCGAAAAGCCGAAGTGGTCGGAAACGCATCGGAGCGTTACAAAAGAGCCATGTACACTAAACAGTTTGGGCAACGTGGGATTGTTTGCGAAACACAAGTGCAGGTTGACAGTACTTACATTGGTCAGCCCCTAGGAGGGACAATTCATACGACCCGTGGGTGACGGAGAAGTTAGTCCTGTTGCAATCTGCCGTTCTCTGAATTATTTAAACGAAATGGGACTTTTCATCATCAGGTTCTATACATGTATCCGAGAAAGTATCAGACAGCTAAAGGTTAGGCAAACTAGAGGGCATGAAAGAACGCAAGTTACCAAGATATACTTCACAGGCAGCGTCTGGATATAAGAGATACATAAAAAGTAAGTAAGGGTCCTAAAGCAAGATTGATAGTTCCAAACTTCTTGAGATATTTCTATGTCCATATCTACCATAGAATTTGAAACTCGGGGAGTTTTTAATTTATGCAAGCTTTATTCCTAATCCTCGGTTTAAAGGATTAAAGAGCGTCTTGATTGATCTCAATACAGTTGCATCTTACTAGTGACTACCTTGGAGATCGTGTGAAGTGGGAACTACTTCTGACCATAGAGCGTGAGACGAAATAAAAAAATACGTCACCGGGTCATGAAAGGGTGTACGGTTAGATTCCACGACGTTTCTTCGAAAAGTATTATAGAAACGGTACCGAGATAGGAAATGGTACATTGCTCGTCAACGGACGTATGCTTAAGGATCTACTATTTGATAGCAAAGCAACTGGTAGGAAGACACGAGATACGCAAAATTCAGATATCTATCATTCATGCATGATTCAGTTGGTATCTCGGAATTCATGTAGACTTATCAAGCATCAAGAGTCTTGTCACGAAGACTTGGTCTTCCAAAGTCAGACATCGTATGGGTAATTATAGTTCTGGCTGTTTAAAGTAATGGCCATGACAGAAATAGCACCGAAACTGCTGTAGAGTAAGATATCTGATCGGGAATATAACTAATTTAGGGCAAAGGTCTCCTGACACTGGGTTGAAGTCAAGGGTAGAAGGAAGTATGAGAAATCTAGAGCCCAAGTAATGGGAATCAGGAACGATAATCATGATCATAAGAGGTAATCCGTGAGTTTTGCGCCTGGCTTTTGTCTGCATCAGCGGTATTACTTTAGATGTCCTAAACGTAGTTTGAAAATAAGATACTAAAGACCCTAAAAATTACACGAAGAAGAAATATATCAATAGAGTACGAAACAACGTGTACTTGCTTCAGGGTTCGTAGCATAGTCCCAAATCATCAACCAAATCATTGGCAGCGATATCAATCGCCCCTCCCATCTCATCCTCTATCCCAAACGCCAAGAATAAGTGATCATCCAGATACCCATGATTCGTCTGGCCCTGGCTTTTCCATCCCATTGAGGTAACATAAAACATATCGGTTGTGCTCTGGTCTAGCCGTGGCTTTCTCCCATGAATCCACAACGGTCTCTTGGATATTCCGTGGATCGCGAAGGGTGCCCGCTGATTGAAGACCATCACGTACGGCTCGTATACAGAGCGTAGGCCTTGGAGAACTTTCTTCTGAATTATAGTGAGAACGAAAGTATTTTCTTCCGACCGGATGCAAGTCTGATCGCTCCGGCGACACATGGTAAGGAGAAGCGAGTTTGTCGCCTGGTGTATCCATTCATTCTCCGTAGCCAGCTTGGGTATATATTTATCCAAGCATTTGCCATCGCTCTCAGCGGCCAGTAGGGCAAGATCAGGACCTGTTGTTCCGTCTGAGTATAGTCGAGAAAATCCTCGCTTCGGATACGCATCATAATGGGTGTACATGTTCCCCTCCGCGTCCCAAAATAGGAACCAGTTCTTCTCAACCTGGTTTCCTGAAGGCTCAGGCCTTTGCATCTCTGTCCCCGTCTCAAACAGGGGAGTTTTCGGCGTTGAATTCCAATCGCCCAAGTGCTGAAAGCCCTGTACAAACTGGCCAAAGCAGATGAATTGAGAATTAGAACCGTAAACGACGAATGGCGACTCAGGGCCCATGAAGACACGTGCGTCATGAGGGCCGCTGTTCAGGTTGTTTATCTCCCACTTTCCCGTGCACTTGTCTCCCCTTGTCGGCTTGATGGGTAGTACTTTGGGAGCTCCGTCACAGCGCATCGCTAGATCTCTGAAGGAGGCAGTGCACCCAATCTCGAAATTGTCTACAGACACTTGGTCGGAGTTTTTGAGTTGAGCAACCACGATCCATCGTTCATTCTCCGTGGGATGAGGAATCAGGTTTGGATTGAGAATAGTTGCACCATCCATATCGATGTAAAAGAATTGCTTGTTCAACGTAGATTGGGAGAAAATTTCCTTGTGTGTCTTGGGAGCGACAAGTTCTTCCTCGACATGTCCAAGCACAAGCCCTGATTCTTCATTTTCTTTTGACGGAGGAATATCTGTCTGCGCTCCGTTTGGGAAAATCGGGACTCCTTTCAATGTGTCTGTGTCTGCCTTAGACTCTTCTGAATCGCTAGAGTTGGTTTCTTGCTTGGAATCCGGACTGGAAAGGTGCTCTTGTTGTTGATTTTGATTTTGTTGTTGCGGCGATCCGTATGCACCCAACACCTGATCTTTCGCAAGTGCAAGCGGTGACTGGTACACACTATATGTTAAATATAGTAAAAGCAAGACGGGGGCCACAAGCAGCG